CATACATACATATATATGTATATCATGTATCGGCAGTCAGCCTGTAAATACAGAGATATGAATTTTTGTCCATATCGACCAGCCCTATTTTGAAGGTATTGGAAATAATACAGTTGGGATTTCTAAATTCCCTGGTTTATTGTAATACAATAATAAAGTGATAGCGCCCAAGCATAGCACCAACTATAATACCATTTCGTAATGCAGAGGGGAAAAACAAAAAATGAGTTTCCACTTTAAACAGGCACAAATTGAAAGAATGAATAATTTTCATATGTTCAATACTTTTACCTTTCGCCCCTAAATGTGGTGTAAGTCCACATTTTCAGCAGCTTCATCGAAGCAACAACACTCTCTTTCTGTTCAGCACTGCAGGTGATCTCACAAATATTTTATAAATTCAGCCAGTCAAAAGCAACGCTTTCGCAGTTGGCACCCAAAGTGCAAATCCATTTTTTACACCCTTACTGCAGAGGACATCGGTGGACTGTGACAACACTGTAATCGACAGGTAGCATTAGGTAATATAAGAATAAGAATTTAGTCTTACTAGTGTGAGGACATGTTGGTGGGCTCCTCCTGTGAAAACCCCCGTCTGGTTACAGAAATTAAGCCCCCAGCGCAGCAGACCGCCCCAGTCGGTGTTCCGGTCGTAGTAGTGGTGGACAATACGTGGGAAACGCAGCGCCACATCACCAAAAAATGCTGTGTTCTCCACCACGTGGGAATACGCTGCAGAGATTTATAGAAAGAAAAAAGAAAGAAACAAAAGAAAGAAGACTGAGGAGAATTCTAGCGATACTTTTTGCACAGATGAAATACATATGACATGCTGACGAATAGGAAAAAAGAACAGAATGCTAATAAAATGATGGTTGATTTTGTTCACTCAAATAGAAATAAAAATGAAAAATAGGGGATGATGGTATTCGTGACATTCAGGCAGACGTTACAGTTGATATTGTTGGCACCTGCTGGCACCAAAAGAGGGCAAGGATGAAAGAAAGAAAGAGTGTCAGAGGTGGAGTGTTTGGAAACAGGTAACACTAGACAAACCAGTCTGAGCAGAGGTGGAGGAAACAGAAACAGAGTGTGAAAAACACACTAGAGATGCTACTAAATAAAGATTTATAGGCTTATATAAGTAGAGCCAACGACATTGCAAAAAAAAAGAAAGGATGAAGCAGCTGAGGTGTAAAAGTGAATCAGACCTTCTTTGATCTTGTCGTCCATTGGGAAAGGGTCATCAGGCTGCATGTTGGCCGCAACCAGGATTTGTCTGGAGTCCTCCAACACCTTAAGAATGAGGAAAAACTGCTCAATATCCAGATTTCTTTACTTAACAGTGTGTGCTGTTGATTGAGGTTGCTGTGGTAAAGCAGGTGAAAAATACAGGTAAAAGTTTATAGGAAAATGTGCTGATATGATGATATTTAAACAACACTTTGCCTGCTGAGATCAGGCTTTGAATAAAGAAACAAATAATAAGTAACTGAGAGAATAACGTTAAAGGGACAGTTCACACCAAAATCAAAAACACCAATTCTTCCTCCTATCTACAGTGCTACTCATCAATGTAGATTGCTGTCAAATGTTGGCAGTATCGTCCATAGAGACGTCTGCCTTCTCTCCACTATAATGGAACTAGATGGCACTTGGAGCTCAACTCTCCAAAAAAACCCAAAACAAAACAAAGAAAAAACCTACTTTTAAAAATTCAACAGCAATGTCTCTTTTCAGAAATCCTGACCTGGTTACTCAAGATAATCCACAGACCTTGATGTGAGCAGTTTCATGCAGGAACTATTTTCTCTCTACTGGACAACACTCGCCAACTGAATCACCACAAAGAGTGAAGCGTGCATCTACTCATGTTCGAGAAGCTCATGCTCCTAACAGCACAAGATGTAAGCATTAAAGGGATAGTTCTGATTTTTTTAAGTGGGGTTGTATGACGTACTTATCCATAGACAGTGTATGGATAGATTGTGGTATGCAAACCCCAGTTTGAAGAAGTGGCAGGATTACCGAATAATCGCACAGAACCTAAGAAATTTCCTGCTAGAGAGGCCGCAGCAATCTAAAAGAATCTATATCAGTTTAGGTGTACACGATATTGTCAATATTTTTACCGCTTACCCTTTCGTTAGACAGCACGTTCAGACGGGGAAGCCTTATCAATGCCCTTATCAAAGCCACAATACTCCACTTACAAACACAGGAGCTACTGGTCTACCATTTCCTCCATTGGTACATTATTTTGTGTTATGGTGTGACTTTGGTGAATCCAAACTAACCCTTCTGAATGCCAAAGTCACACACAATGACACAAATGAAATAACAGATTGATCTCCTGCATCGTGATGTTAAATTATTTTTTGTTAGATGAAACAGATGAAATAAATGTACTTACCCTTAACCAATTTTTTAGGTGGTAAAAATTTGTTCTCCGGTGGACAACAGTACATTGCATAGCTTCTGTGTCAGACTCTAGCCTGCCTCTCCAAACAAGGGGCATGCTGACTGACATCTACTGTATGTAACACACTGACTATGGATAAGTACCTCACACAACCCCACTTATAAGGATCCGAACTATCCCTTTAATAGCATCTTCCTTTGCTAAGCTGTCATGTCAGCTAGCCCACTGGTGCTAGGTGGGCTAGCAGCAGATGCATGCTCCCTTCTGCACTGCTCACAACAAGATTATACTGCAGAGAAGGCAGACATCTGTACGTCCAAAATCTCCAACGCAACTCACACCAAAACAATCTAGACTGATAAATAATACTACAGGTGAGAGGAATCACATGTATTTTTGATTAGGAGATGAACTGTCCCTTTAAACAGATTGAAACCTGTCTAACTGTTGCTTCTGAAGTTGTGTCAAGACGAATCAATGTGTCCACACACAACACAACATGTCTTTGGACAGAAAACACTTTGTGTCATACTGTGGTTGAAACACAGACTGAACACAACAAGACATCAACTGAGATCAGAGTCAGCGCAGCGTCTTTGGGGATAGTATATAAAAGAGATAAAAGCAGGATCACTGTTAAGCACTCTATCTGACACACACATACGAACACACACATACACTGGTATAGAAATGCTGACAATGCTCTCCAGCTACTGAAGGTTGACTGTGCTAGTTGTCCTTGAGAGGCACACAGATGCATAGATAACTGTCCTCTGGGAAAATGAGGCATACTGTAAAAGCAAAGCTCACAGCTCAGTGTGAGTGAATGGCACTCCAAGCAGCTGAGCCTGAATTAACATTCAAATGAATGCGTGGAAACATGCTGATGAATGTAATCGTTGGATTTGTGGCTTTTGATTCTGTGTCGGGCTGCGGACCTTCTGATCCTTCAGTCTGCTGAGAGCACAAGACAGTCGAGCTCTCAGAAGTAACTCTTGCCATCTTTTTTAATACTAGTAGCCTTGTCTGTTCTTGATTTAGCTGCTGCCCACAGACTATGTGAGCATTTGACGTGAGAGTGCACACACACAGCCTACCTTGAAGAGTCCTTTGAGCATGATGTCTATGATCTTGTACTGCTGGTTGATGTCATTCAGCTCTACCAGATTCTTGAGGGCGTTGAGCTGATCTTTCCTCTTGGTCTCAAACAGCCGCTTGTCTAATAAGAGGAGGTCAGGAAGACACACGCTCTCCACATGGGCATCACACACATAAATGCTCTTTCATGCACCCATCTGTCACATTAAACAGGCACAGAAACGTTCACACACACAGGCAGACACGTTCACGTCCACACTGTGCATTTGGCCGCACCGACAGCAGAAGGATACAGATCTCCAGGTTGGAGTCATGCCTCAGTCTGTGCGTGTCCGAGTCTGCCGAGCTGAGGGCGGCGGCGGCAATCGCCAGGACCACCGCACACAGACTCCGCATGGTCAGCAGAGGTTGGCCTAGAGACACTCTTCTGAAGAATAAAAATGACAGGCCGTGAGATTGTTAAACATCAAAATATTGGCACACATTCACGTGATTTCCCTTATTTAAGGCTACAGAGAGAAGAATGTCCATCTCAAAACAGAATTCTCTGACTACGACTTTCACACCGAACACATTTTCTTTTGATACCAAGATCCTGCTTTCATCTGAAAACAGTAGGCTTTCACTGAAATAGTTTTCTTATTCATGAAGCCATTTTTCGTCTTCCAAAAGCCGCCAGAAAGGCTCCCTCTCTTGTGATACTTGTGGAGTACGTGAAATAGAGAGACATGCTAGGGATAAGTGGTCAATATGGAACACTAGAGGGGAGCTGGCATCTGAAGTGGGGCTCCTTATGTTCCTTTTAAAAGACACATCTGATGTCTGGCACTTGCATAATCCCCAGAGGAGCATTTACAATCTCTGTACCAGACTCCCTCCCCCTGCTCTTGCCTCCCCCCGTCCCCCTGGTCTCTCTATCTGAAAGCAGTGGTCGTCTTAGACATTTTCATCCAGTTGCAACTTCCTTTTCCCTCAGAGAATTTTTTTTTTTTACGTTAGAAAGGAAGGGATGAAAGCGAGAAGATAAATACAACAGCTAAAAATAGGACCTCATCAAATGAAAATTTGATGAAAGCCACAAATTTTAAGAAAACATTAGCAGAAAACAGAAGTAACTGGAGGGAGGGAGTGGGAAAATAATGTTAATGAAAAGCTACAAGATATAATTCACATAATTCATGCATAATTTAGCAAGGGCTCCATCACTGATACAATCAGAAGGATGTGGAGGGGTATGGGGCTTGGGTGGGGGTGGAGGGCACGCAAGGAGAGCCAGATTGTGAGAAACAGGAGGAAGACGGGAGGAGAGAGATGAGCACAGGGGCGTCGAGGCTTTTGGAGGGGAGGGGGGAGGTAGAGGAGTGTGAAGGCGAGACCCTGCAGGAAATAACAGCTTTTCCTGGTGAATATTTCATTCATTCATACCTTTGCTGAGACACAGCGGCAAAACTTGGAGATGCACAGATAGGAAAGCGAGCGCAAGATAGAGGAGGAGAGCGAGCCTGTGCAAGAGGATAATGAGCACCAGGGACTTGATTTTGCACTGACAGAATTAATCTTTTGCAAGCCCGGCTGCCAATTCTTGAGTCTGAAGGACTAGGAAGTGAGCAAACGTCTCGGGTGTGAATGTTAATTTAGACTGAATGAGCCCCCCTTAAGAATCTCACTCAAATCAGAGGAGAAAAGCATATGCTTGTAGACACACGCTACCACTCTTCAGAGCGCTGATAACGCGGACCAACAGCGATCATTTTATACTAAATCTTCCTCCTGCTTCTTTGCTTTTGCAGCACATCCTGACAACTGTGCAAAGACTGGAATCTAACAGTAGATCTCAGGATATTATTCTGCCAATGTGACATGAGAGACTGCTGAAAAAGAGCCGACAAACTCCCTTCTGTTACAGCTACTCTGGCTTTAAAGGGAAACTCTGCCAATTTTAAACCAGCTTTGTATCATAACAATGTGCGCAGTATGCTTTAATAAACTTCCCTCCATCTTACCAGATCTCCCTGCTCGTCTCTCAACCCAAAGCAGCTGGGTGACAGATTTTCTCTGGGTCTAGGGCTGTTGCTCGAACTACAGATTGTACTTCCGCATTTTCATATGGCCACCACCACCACGGACACAAAAGGCATAGAAGTGGATCGAGAGAGATGCCCCTCTCTCTATCTCTTCCTTAAACTCAGACCAAATGATAAAACAAGGAAGTGCTGAACAAATATAAACCAAGACTTCTTGTTACTGTATCATCTATTTCTCGTCTAAAATGCATTCAGGAACATATTTTAGAGCAGTGGTTCCCAACTGATGGGTCACAGGTCCATTCTGTATGGACCACAAGTGACTTGTGAATGTCTCAAGTTTGCAAAAACACACACCTTATTTTGAAGTACAGTGAATATCCAGCACAGAGCTTTCGTTTTGAAGTACCATTTCCTGCTGTAGAGTGAGTGACTAACCGAGAGCTACTTAACAGAGACAGCAAACTAACTCGACAACATTGCCAAACGCAAGTATGACGCTGAATGTATTAAACTGTGTGGACCTTGAACAAATGAGAATTTGTGAACAGGAAGTGGGCGCTATACTGTGCTATACAAATGGTAAAACTAGGCAGTGCTGATCAAATATGAACCAAGATTTTGTTACTGTGATGCCTATTTTTCATCTAAAAATGTTTTCGGAAACATATTTTAGCTCATCATTTAACTGTAATTTTAAACTGTCTGTTACAAGCCGGCCACCATGTTGTATCCTGTGTCAAAACGGACAAGGTTGCATTACTTCGCCCATCAACAGGAGGGTTTATTGGTCTAGTGCGGCGCAGTGCAACCTAGTAGTTGTAGGTTTTCTACCTCTTGAGCAAAAGTAAATGCCACAGCCCTTTTCTCTGGTCGGCAACAATTTCAATTGTATTTGCGCCTTTCTACTGCACAGATAGCCCCGTTTTACAAAAAGACCATCTTTCCAGCAGTTAAATATGTCTTTAAGAAATTTGAGAGATGTTACCAGCTGGTCGTCATACTGTTTCCTGTCTCAAAATGGGCAAGCTCACAGTACATCATCCCCCTGCGGTTGCATTTCAGGCCCCTGGAAGTGCAGCGGGCTTTGAAGCCGATTTTTGTAATGGCCAAACAGTAGCATTACAACTTCCAGGTCCGTCATGTGATACCATTGGCCCCAAAAAGACTTTTTTTTTTAGCTTACACTGGGAAAGAGATGTCTGTAAATCAATTTCATAAAAAAAATTTTTGAGCGTCACAACCCCAAGAATTTCGAATGTCTAAAAGAGCCGTACAATTTAAGCATTTAATCCCCATTCAAGTTGGTGACGAGCAAAACCGGAAGTTAGCCGCTTGGCTGTTGGAAGATCCAGGTAATCTTATACCTGGGAAGTCAAACTTCTTTGGCTCCATGTGCCACTGTGCAACTTATACAGGAATTAACAGTGCCCAGCCTCAAATGCTGTAACCAGTTCTTTGTACATCCATGCAGCACTGATTGATCCCGTGTGGCGCAGTAGATTCTGGTAGTGGTAGGTTTTCTATCTCTTAAGCAAAAGCGAATGCCACAGTCCTTGTTCTCTGTTTTCTCTGGTTGTGTAGCACTAACTTCAAAAGTATTTGCCTCTTTCTCTTAGATAGGTGGCCCAGTTTTATGAAAAGAGCATCTTTTCAAGCAGTGAAATACTTTAATAAGTGGTGGTCTCTGCGGTCACCTAAGTCTCTTATTTAAAAATAAAACTTCTTTTCCTTACAGAGTCAGCAAAAACAAGTGTTCCTAAGGACAGCTGAGTGAAGACAATGTTCGATTAAGGCCAATTTGTGCGTTCTGAGAACATCTTTTGGGTAGCTTCCCAGCTTTCTGAGAAATGCAGCACTAAATATCCTTAAGTGCTGGTCGAAAGCCTCAATATTTCTAGATAACAGCCAAGGAAAAGGAGGGGGGCTCGTCTCTCCTGTGGCAGCAGCTTGTCGGGTTATTTGATGTTCCTGTGTGCTTCCATGCAGTCAGCCATGTAGCTCCCTGACAGATATTTATGGGCAAAAAAGGGTTATCGCCACCGGCACAATTTCAAGCAGTCAACACATACTGTGTATCCTGCAGCTGCTGGTGTTTCCATGCAATAGGGCAAAGTGCTGAGAGTTTGAGAACTAGCGTAGGAAGGACATTAGGAGCGGATCAATCATCTCTAATGTGGCACAGGCAGCACAGAAATGAGAGTCTAAATGCATCCATTAACTGTAAGCTTGCAACCCTAATTACACAGGATGATCATTTAAGAAAATCTAAGTCACAGGACTGGTAAAACTCTCATGTTCTGAGATCATATTACACTTGGCTTTAGCCTGACCGACTGGGAGCGACTTGGACACACTGCAGAGAAAATTTCAAGTGCTCCCTGAGGGGAAAGGAGACCTTTGACAGATAAACCACTAAGATAACATGATTTCCACTCATGGTCGTGGCAGTAACATCCCGTCTTCCACCACCTTTCTTACTTTAGGTGGACAGCAGCAAATACTGCACACACAGCAGCCAAGTGCTCACATTATAGGACCATTAATACATCACAGCTGCTCTGCAAGATGAGTGCATTGGATGGATTTCCCTCAGCATGACCCACTGATGGTCAGCATCCAAGGTGGGAGGGCCTGGTTCGGCTTTGGTCTGTCAATGTGGCACTCAAGTCGGGCAGTGTACTTCTTGCCGAAGCCGTGTAAGCCCACGTAAATCTCTTGGCCGGAGGAGATTTTCTTCTCTGCCAACAACAATCTCCTGCGGCAGAGAGGCTGAAGTTTGATTTCCTGTGTGGGAGATCCAGGTTCCAGCTTTGTCAGATAAGTAGGCTAGCATGTCTAATCATACTACACACCCGTGAAGATAGCTCCACTCTGAGTTTCCCTGTGGCGTTAAGAACATGAATTCTACGATGCAATGCCGGTCTGTAATTTCTCCTAATCCCACAGGACAGGAAGGAGGGAAAAAAATCTGAGAATCTTCAATCAAGAGTGGGAAACTGTTAACCAACTCTGTGACATTAATTTCAAGAGGCAAAACTAACCCTTGAGGCAAAGGTGACTCCTGAGAGGATGGAACAAGCAAGATGCTTATCAGACAGCTGGATGTGCAGCAGGAGTGGATCCAGATTCCCCTCAGGCTGCCCGCCTGCTGTGGGAGGTTTGAGGTTCAAGGACTGACACATCATCTCTCTCTCTGCGTGCATCTGCGGGGCTCTCTCCCTGTTATCATTCATGCAGAAGCACTGCCACGGACATGCGTAATGGTGATGGTGATGACAGAGCCTGGATAAAGACTGGCATGTGGACCATCAATTACAGAATTGCTTAATTGATTTGCATGCACCCTGCCTGACCTGGCTGTCCTGCTCAAACGCGCAACTGTCTGCAGGCAATGATGAGTTAATTCACTTAATTTCAACCCGCGTTCAGTGTGAAGCCTCTGATGTAAAACCGTATCTACTGGTGGTACACATCAACTCCGCAATACTACACCACAATTATTTATATAAGACTTCCTCCAGGGGTGCGCTTTGGGGAATTAACCAAGTACTAGAAGTCGCTCCTCGACAAATGGATCCCGCCTGTCATTACAGCTGTATGCCCCGCCAGGATCCATGAGGCAGCGGCCAGCTCAGGTGATCCAGCCGATAAAGCGCTGGACGTTACAGCCACAAAACTCGCGGATCACTCACCGTGTTGTAGCGAGAAACGGCGGCGCCACACGGCAGCGATTAGCGGGCAGCGTCTGCTCCAAAGTAGTGCAGTTTAACCTTTTTTTTGGGGTAATCTCTCCACACGGTTGAGGTCAGCTCGCCGATGACGGGGACGGGACAGTCGGCGTTCCCCTCTGGATCCTCAGGTGACGGCAACACGGAGGTGGAGTTGTTCATTTACATGCGGCTCGTGCTGCTCCACTCCGCCAGCGCCACGATCGCACCGGCTGGCTCGCCTTGGACGAATGACAGCCAGCGGGCGCTAACCGAGGAGGAGGATGTTGTTTCCGCACGGAGGAGTTAAAGGGAGACACCGTCAGAGCGTGGGGGTGCGTTCCGTTTCCCTCAATGTGTTTCCTCAGAGATGATGATGGGCTGACACTTGGCAAGATACATTTTTGAATAGATACATAAATAAAGAAAGAATTAATAATGAATAAATAAAATGTAGGCTAATAAAACGTATTAATATACATTTAATACGAATATATATATAATAATGTGTATAGTGCAATATTCTTCATCTTGCACATATATATTTTTATTCCTCCTACTTGTGTTGTACATTGTAGCATTATACACATATTTTTATATTTCTAACTTCACATACTAGTTTTATATATTGTATGACTTTTTTAAAAAATATTTTTTACACACTACACATACTCAGCACGTTAGTTTTTTATTATGATTATTTCTACTCCCATAATGCACCGGAGTGACTGTAACAAACCACTACATATATAACAGTTGTTGTGTTTGATCATTTCTATGTAGCTTTAAGTTTAACGTAAGGTTTTTTCACTTTAATTTTTAAATATTTTTAGCTGTATCTAACATTGTATATGTACAGCTGTACTTAACAAAAACAGAATAAAACTACATAATAATAATAATGAATCATTGGCAGTGGTTAGCATTGTCCCCTCACAGCAAGAGGGTTCCTAGTTCAAACCAAGGGGTGGAGGAGCCCCTCTGTGCGGAGTCTGTATGTTCCCCCCATGTCAGTGTGGGTCCAAAGACATGCAGGTTAACTGGTGACTCTAAATTGTCCGTAGGTGTGAATGTGAGTGTGAATGGTTGTCTGTCTCTATGTGTCAGCCCTGTGATAGTCTGGTGACCTGTCCGGGGTGTACCCTGCCTCTCACCCAGTGTCAGCTGGGATAGGCTCCAGCACACCCGTGACCCCTAACAGAATAAGCAGTCAAGAAAATGAATGGATAATAAATAATTACAAAAAAAAGAAAAAGCTTTAAGTATTGATCCTAACGGTTAGAGAGGCAGTTGTGTGTGAATGTGTGTTGCAGTATGAGTGTGTTCAGGAGATTAGATGAGCTGGGAAGATAAAGTTTGGAGTGTGTTGAAGCAGTCATATGACTGTATTAATATATAACCATGGCAAGGCTCTGTCTTTTAAAGGTCTGGTGTGTAGGATTTAGTGGCATCTAGCAGTGAGGTTGCAGAACTGTAACTTCTCCTGCGTGCCAAGCATGTAAGAGAATTAAGACGACCGATGCGAAAATGCAAATGGACCTATCTAGAGCCAGTGTTTGGATTGTCCATTCTGGGCTACTGTAGAACAACAGGACATATGTATCTATGTAGATATAACAGCTTATTCTAAGGTAAAGAAAACAGGATACTTACATTCATGTGATTAGAAACTAATGAAAACAAACATACAATTTCTGCCATTAAATGCCTCTAAATCCTACACTCTGGACCTTTAATATTCTCAAGGAGAATGACATTTGCTCCATCTGGTAGATTTCCCATACCTTTTACGTCCTTATATTATATGTTGAGGGATCAGTTTTTAACCACAGCATTTTACTGCTGCTTTTGGCAAGATTTGCAAAATTCCAGTGTAACTCCTAGTAGTGACTTGATCATTTTTAATGCTTACTTTTTGAATGATCTGTGTATTAGCTGTGCACATGGTCAGAAAGGAACCCCTTATCACTTCTCCTGTCTGAGTCACCATCTGAGAAATAAATAGGTGTAGTAGTACATTTACATTTACTTTCTTCCTGGAACACCTGAACTCTAATCGAGACATCCTCAGTAGACATTATAGTCAACTACGATTTAAATCTTTGAGAAAACATGTGAAGGCAGTCTGTCTCTCAGTGCTGGATTATAGTGACGTTATTTACAGACATGTTGCAACATCCACTCTCTAACTGCTGTCTGCCATTCAGCCCATAAACTGGAGACAGGCACTTATCACTTTATTCTTTATCAAAAAGTGGGTTGGCCTTCTCTTTTCATTAGAAGAGAGCATTCTCTATTAATAAAGGTCTTGTTCAGAAATTGCCCTCGTGTCTGTCGTCATTTAATGGCTGAAGAGTTGGATCACATAACACACGCTCACAGGACTTGTTAGTGCTGCGGGTTTCTGGAACTGTCATTAATCTGGGAGAGACTCATGTTAGCTTATTCACACCTGAATGAATTGCAGTGCACAATGATACTTGATACTATGGGACCAATGGATCGATTCAGAAATTTTTTACTTTGATTTTTGACTTTTTTTTAAATAATTTTTTTCTATACTTGTATTTATTATGATTGATATTGTACATTTTAAATTGTTTTATGTCTTCTTGATTTATGTACTGTGGTTTCGCTTGAAAATGAGCTCTCAGAGGGACTTACCTGATTAAATTAAGGTTTGAAAAAATATCCTCCACTGAAAAGTTAATCAGAAAGTTTCTGCCCAATGCTGACATCTCCGAGCAGCTGCACCCCTGAGCAGCAAGTCTTTGCCCACCTCACATTCACTGTCAAACACCAGCGGCCTGTAGGCGTGGTCACAATCTGTGACACAGCAGCTTTGTGAGGGTCCTCATGGGAAACCAGTTCGTCCAGTCCTGGGTCATTTCCAACTGCGACCCTCACAAGGACAAAACTTTCTGCCTGGGCATATCAAAGCAAAAAAAGAGCAGAGCTGTGTGATGAAGATAATCGCTGCTATGACCAGGTCAATTACTCCTGTGGATCGTTTTTCATTTTCATGTGTCTCATGAATAATTTCTATAAAGTCAAACGTGTCCTTTTCACTTTTGTGCTCTTCCCTGTTAGTGACTTCACAGCAAAGACGACACTCTCCAAATAATAAATGGCTACAGTAATGGCAGGTTTCACCTTGACCACTTCTGTGACTCTGCAGTTGTAAAATTCTAATAGAACATAAAAAAGGCCATGTGAGGTTTTATGCATAATTGTGTCCTTTAAGTGGTGTACAAAATCCTAAAGTAGAGACAACCCTGATATCCTGCATTTAATTGTATTATATTCTACAAAAAGTAGCATAAGTACAGATGTGAGCCTGTAATAAAGACACAAATGTTTTTGATATTTTAAAGAGTAAAGATAACTTTTAATCAAACTTTTCTTTAACAAAGCTTGTAAAAATAAATTACTTTAAACTCTATTCAGTACATTTTTTTTAGTGAATTGACACTGTCGAATGTCTGCAGCGCTGCTTTAAGAGCAGAACAGAAAACACACTACACATATAGGAATTAAAGTTGTGCAACAATAAATGAACAATAGAACAAACAGCCCAATCGATGGTGTAATAATATCAGTTTGCATCAGCCGGCTTTCAGTGTAAAGTCAGACAGACAGATGAGGACGTCTCCAACACACCTGAGGACAAAAGTTAAGGAGGAATGAAGCATAAAGTGTGTTAAGTGTCTACAAGAGTTTATATCTGAAAGTGAACAATCTTAACAGAAACTATAGGGTGTCACTTGAATGTATGTATCCTCTACTTGCACAGTGTAGTGTGACGTATGTCGTTTTACAAATTTCATGTTTGTTTACCTCCTGTCAACACTACAGAAATCTTACCTTCGCTTCTTTACAGATAGCTTAGTACGTACTGTTAATAGTATTTATTGTCGATTGTTGTAAATAGTGTTTTTGATCATTTTAACTGTGAGGTTAGCCGATCAGCTAGCCAAACTACCTACTAAAATGAAGAAAAGCATTATCAAGTTTATGAGGAGGGCGATCAGCTTACCTGAGCTTTGCTGCTCACTTTTGCAAGACAGTGTGCGTCAGTCAATTTAATATTTTTGGGAGCTTTTTGAAGCACCACATGTAAAAAAAGAGCCATAGTGATCTAATGTTAACGAAGCTCTGAAAATCAGGCTAATGCTGGTGCTACACTGAGTGACCAAAGGAATCCAATGGTACCAGGAACGTCATGCTAGTATGTCAGGAAGCAGTACTGGGTATGACTGGAATGCTGAGACCCTTATGGATTTTATTGACGTGTAATGATGTTAGCTCCCAAAGCAGCCATTTCTTTGTGGCGAGACCATTTCTTTGAAATGAGCATCACTGTATCAAGTGACCTATAGTGACCTCTAGGATACTCGCAGCCTCATGAAGCTTTACAGCCACAAACTAGTGCTCCTGAGCATTGGCTGGCTTTCATAGCTGTACTGACAATATACACCGAAAATTTCAAAAGATTTTGACTCTGAATTACAGCATGGATTTTTCTGTGGTCGTCCTTGAGGTCTTGGTGTCTTAATGTGGTATTTTAGAGGGGTTTTTGACCATTTTTATCAATTATCACGTGGTAAAAAATGCTTAAATTCAGCAACACAGCTGTGTAACAAATGGTATCAACCCAAACAATGCTGCAATAACAATAACTGAGATGTAATTGCTTATGGGAATGCTCATCATACACTTCAGTCATAATGTTCTGAACTCCTAAACCCTCTAAACTTTAAAAATTGTAATAGGTACCTGACCAAAATGTAATGCTTATTGTTAATTACATATTCATGACTAGAGAAACTTGACACACAGTGCTGACGGGAAGTAAACAGACAACACTTTTCTCAGTTAGTTTCGTAACCTACATGATGTCAACAGTATTTAGCGTTTATTTTTGTATGAAGTGGTCTTAGAAGACATCTGTTAGCTAATGTTAGTCACTCAGTGTAACACCAGTGTTAGGCTGATTTTCAGAGCTTAGCTTACTTTAGGTCGCTGTGGTTCTTTTTTAAATTGGTGCTTGGAAAAGCTGACAAAAATATTAAATTGGCTGACATACACCGTCTTGCAATGGCGAGCAGTAAAGCACTGCAGAGCAGACCGCCCTTCTCATAAACTTGACAGTACTTTTCTTGATTTTATTAGTCAGCTAGGGTAGCTGACTGTCTAATCTTGCTATTCAAAGACTGAGATGATTATCAAAATGATCAATGACTCTATATACAAACATGAACGGTCATCACAATATGCACAAAATAACTGAAAAGTGAAGCAACGTGAGGATTAAAAAGCACTTTGATCACTAAGGCCAGAGGCAGAGGTGACCTGAGGCTCATAAAACCGATATACGTCACCACTACAGAACTGTAAACATAAAATATGTGTATTTTCTATCAAGCTCCTGCTTCAATCACAGCGAACAGTGTGTCTCTTGTTAATGGAGTATTCCTTAACTATTAACGTAATCTGACAGTATTGCATTATAAGACAGTAGCTGTTAAAGCTAATATCAAGCTTAGCAGACGGACGATTCGATGAGAGTGTGTGGGAGAGTGAAAGGAAGAATGGGTGGGTGTGTATGTGTGTATGAGAGTGAGAGAGTCAATCAGCACAACAGATGCACGGAGCCTTTAAGTACTACTGACTGAAATACAGTAACAACCCTGTGTTGTACAACACACTTTCAAAGAGATTAAGTGAAAAGCACAACACATTCAATAAATTGCTGGAGAAAATCAATGAAGATGCTCTGCTGATGTCTGAAATACAGTACAGGTATCCTTCATAGTGTGCTCAGAGAGCGTGTGTATGTGTTGCAGCTTGTCAGATTCACACAGAGGCATGTTTGAAGTTTTTGTAGGGTGTGAAATTGGTGCGATTTTAAATACAGCATCAGCCTGCATGTGTTTCGTGCAGGTGTCAGGTGTTGATGAGTGCGTTTCACTTCAGGTGAGGGATACAAGACGTTGCTAGGCAGACTGGGGCTGCAGCTATCAGCTGGCGTCTGCAGGCTGAGGGACTCCAGCATACTCCTCACTCTCTGCTTGTGCTCCCCTGTGAGTTGCAGGACACTGCTCTGGATCTGGACAAGCAAAAGAAGGTTGAGTATTTTAAGGTATTGGTACCGGATACGTTTTGGGTATTGACCGAAATAACCCAGTGCCAGGTAGTATCAAACTGTCTCCAGCACAGACTGTATATAAAGATGGGTGACATGACAGCTACCCAAAACTGAAGCCAAAACATTGTGATCGCCCCCTGGTACAGTACAAGTCATGAACCCTGGTTCTAAGATAATATGACGTTAAAAAGAGGGGAACAACTGTCATAACTGACAGCTGCACCAATCGGTATCTCGCTATTGATGGTGTTGCTCATGATTGGTTGGATAGGATATTGCCAGAGACTGCTACTGTGCAGACTCTGGCTCCAAATGATTTCACCAGCACAAGATGGCAGCAGCCATATCCAGGATATTTTGGCTTCATTTTTGTACAATATGAGGAAGTAGAGACATGTCATCTATTTTTACATACAGTCTATGGTCTCTAGTCAAACTCGCATTCAATCCTTTTTGTGCTGTGGGTCTAATCCCAGACTGTCCTGACTCCCCACCAGATCAGCAAACTTTCTAAGCTAACACAGCAGCAGTGACTATCATCCAACACAAGCTGTTAAATGGTCCCAACAATCTAACACTGACACTGAAACGGCTCAAATCGTTGTTAAAGCTGTCAATGACTGTTAGGTAATGTTAGCTGTGTGATGCTAGCAGTTAGCTCTGTCATTGTGTGTGTGCAGTAGGGCAGATCTCTTAACTGTCTAAGGCGTGGAGTTCAGACTTCCGCAGCTGGAGCTACAACCCATACAGTCTGTAGTGAGGTGAAGTCAGGTGCTATATTGACAGAGCGTTCAGAGTTCAGCATGCCAAGACGCCACCAAAGCGTCCAAAGTATAGCTATATTACACGCCACTTAATTCACATTAAGGGTATCAAATGAAGTACTCTAGTGGTATTGGTATCACTGTAAGGGCTTTTTAAATGATACCCAGCCCAAGAGGAGAGACAGAGCAGGACAGACAAGCAGCATAATGTGGGAGGGATGACAACATAAAGGAGAATGGAGAAATTAAGAGAAATAGCACAGGACATAATGCCAATATTGGGACTAAAGGTTAATAGGCAGTGAAGAGGGAGATGAGAAGAAAAACATAAAGTAGGAAAAAACAAAGTAAAATGTCTGAATCAGAGGAAACAAGCTGCAGGCTTTTATTCCTACCTGGCTGATGACATTTTCTGAAAACTATACCACTTAAAAAATGAAATACATTGGCAAGCTGACAAAAGGCAAATTCTTCAGAGGGAGGTTCACACAGACACACTCTCAAACGCACACACCTGGGATTTGCAGAGTGCTAAATAAATAAGCATGACAGGAAGCTTCTACTGCAAAAACAAAACTATTTATTTCAGCTGTGACAGGCAACACGGCAGAGTTACAACCATATTAGCAGAACATAGTTGTGAGCTAGAGCAGCCCAAGTATTGCCATTAAAGCACCAAGATCTCTTATACTGTCATCAAATGATTATCTTCTCCTTCATGATCGCCATAATCATCATTCTCAGCACCAGGGAAGGAAGAAAGCTAGAATTACCGCCTTGCATTTTTATGCCTCCACCACCCACTGGCTTTTTGTAAAGGGGACCAAGGTGATGCTAACTTCTGTGTCAGACTACAAAAAAACCTCATCCCTGCAGCACTCAGCTCAGTATCCTACCACATCTCTCTACAACGGGGTAATGATGTTGAATAATGGTCAGAAAAAATGTTTTTGCAGGTAATTATGATGTCACAGTTAACCTGACCTTTGTCCTTTTGGATATAAAATGTCTCACTTTTAATCTTCATCTTTACTTTTTTATTATCAATAAGCATATGAAATCTTGAGTAATGGCCAACTAAGTGTTTTGTGGGGTCACAGTAACCTTGACCTTTGACCACTGAATTCTAACCAATTCATCCTTGAGTCCAAGTGAACGATTTTGTCGGACGTAATGACATTCTACAGCTGTACCCAACTCAGAATGATGTCAGCTGAATCCGATGTGGCTGTTCAATATAATTATTTGATGATCTGTTCCTTCTTTTCCATATGAAGTTTGAGTGTTTGAATAGAGTTTAGTGGGAGATATTCACATAATATATTAAATGAGCCAGGTTAGCCCTCTGAGCTAATGCATGCTAGCTATGCTAACAAGGGACTGGAAGTTTGCATCATTTTTTGCAGACACTAGATACCAAACAAAAGCCATAGATTGTACAGTATTAAGTTGCTGTGAGCTGTAAATTCACCACTCATAATAACATGGCAGAAGATAACATTATCTCAGAGCTCCAAGCTGCTGCCGCCGTCTCACTCAAGACTCACCCTGGGTCTGCAGCTGCCTGCGCCCAAAGAGCAGTATGAAAGCGAAGAGCACTCACTCTGCTGCTAAATCTGGGTACCTAATCCTTCCAGAAGTACACTGCACACTAACTGAAAAAAACAAACAAACAAACAAAAAAAACACAATCGCTTGATTTAAAGAATCTCAGCTGACTGAGGGGTCTGACTGATAATCTTCGACTCACGAAATTCCCGCGTTCTTGATATATCAAGTTCACGAGAATAGGATGGGCTTTCAGTCACAGTGCCCCTGACTTCTGAACACTAAAATCTAATCAGTTTATCCTGGAGTCCAAGTGGACATTTGTGCCAAATTTGAAAACATTTCCTCAAGGTGATCATGAGATAATGTGTTCACGAGAAGGGGACACACAGACGTATGACTGGAAAACATAATGCCTCTGCTCGTGGCTGTTGGCAGCGCAGAGGCATAAAGATCTGGAACTTTGAGAAGTTTCAAGAGAGAGGAACTGATGGATCTTCATACACAAGTGAATAATGTCATCAAACTTAGAGCTGTTTTATTTGACAGCAGTTCCCATCAAGTAACTCTAGAGGATGATATTTTGAGCAATACGCGGGTGAAGGAAAGGGCAGAATGGAAAGCAAATGGAGAAGTAGTCTGAGTCAGAACTTAAATAGCCACGGGCCAAAGCTGCAAAAGCAAAATGATGCATATAAACACGTCAGCCAGTTCTCATGCACTGCTAGTATGCATATCTATGAAAAGCAATAAACCACAATTTGAATATAACCCATGTCATACTGAAGGCTGCGATCATGTGACCAATGTGCTGATGGGAATAAATAAGGAAGTAGTTTAACAAGCGAAAGTCCATGAAGGTTGGGGCGGTGGAGGGGGTCAAACAAACACAGGACACTTCCCCAGGTGGCCTGTGTGAAACCAAGTGAACTTTAAATTATTTTTTTAGTTAGGTCGTCACCATGTACCATGTTTCTGTGTAACTTTACTTGCCTTAGCCTAACCTACAAAACTTTCCGTAAAGTATGTAACTTTCCGTTGAGTATTTAACATGACAATGCCAAACCATGTTTCATTTCCTAAACCTAACCTATGTAACTTGACATGTCTAAACCTAAGTAACTTAAAGTTAAGTAAATAACGTAATGACAACCAACCATGTTTCTTTTGCTAAAACCCTATCTACGTAAATTTACTGCCTAGCCTAACTTATTTAACTCAGCATTAAGTACGTAATTTTATGTTAAGTACTCAATGTGATGAGGCCAAACCATGTTTCTTTTTCTAAACCTAACCTACGTAATGTTACTTGCCTAGATCTAACTTTTACATTGAGTATGTAATGTGACGACAAAAACCATGTTTCTTTGGCTAAACCTTATCTACTTGGCTTTACTTGCCTAAGCTTAACCTAGGTAAATTTCCATTATGTATGTAACTTTACATTAAGTATTTAACGTATTGACGCCCAACCATGTTTCTTTTCCTAAACCTTACCTATGTAACTTTATATGTCTAAACCTAACCTAAGTAAATTTACATTAAGTACATAGCGTAATGTCAAACAACCATGTTTCTTTCACTTAACCTTATCTACGTAACTTTACTGCCTAACCTAACCTACTTAACCTGAAGTACGCAATTTTTATGTTAAGTATGTAATGTGATGACGCCCAACCATGTCTTTTCCTACACCTAACCTACGTGACTTTACTTGCCTAAATCTAACCTATGAAACTTTACATTGTGTATGTAATGTGATGACAACCAACCATGCTTCTTTTGCTAAAACTTATCTACGTAACTTAAGTTGCCTAACCTACTGAACTTTATGTTGAGTACATAATTTTGTATTAAGTACATAACTTGATGACGTCCAACCATGTTTCTTTTACTAAACCCAATCTACATGACTTTACGTTAAGTGTACGTAATGTGACAACTCCCAACCATATTTCTCTTACTAAACCTAACCTACGTAACTTCACGTTAAGATTGCAACTTTATTTTACGTATGAAATATGACGCTGCCCAACCATGTTCCTTTTTTCTAAACCAGATCTACGTAACCTTACTTGCCTAAACCTTACCTACGTAACTTTACGTTGAGTACATTGCACCCAACTTTGTTTCTTTTCTTAAACCCAATCTAAGTGACTTTACTTGCATAAACCTAACCTATGTGACTTTAGCTTAATCTGATAACTTTAAGTATGTAACGTGACGATGCCATTTGGGGTACGCTAATTCACTGCATATCATACAAACTGTTGTATGAGGATAAATTGATACACATACACGCTTACTTATGCTGTGTGCATACATGCTAATAGTGTCTGCACACAGAATGTATTAACACACACTCAGTTGACAGTTATGTCACGACTCATGGGGAGGAAGCAAGACAGTAATATGATACCAGATCACTGACAAATGTGCACAGAGAGCTTCCTCACAAACTGGGATTGTACTTCAGTCCACAGGCAGATCAACAGAACCTATGAACAAAGTTCAATGTGTGCAAATGTTAGTGTGTGTAGTGTGACAGATTGGAGCGGAGGAGATGACAGGTGAGAAAACTCATAGTGTCTTGAGACTGTTAAGAAAAGTGTGTCTGTCACATTGAACCCTACCTCCCCTAAACTGCCT